GCTGTGGAAGAGAGGTAAGCAGGGAAAGTCGGGGTGGTCAAGTACAGATAACACGGTGGAACTGTGGTGCCGGGAACTCTGGGAGGACAGGGTCCCAGAATAGCAAAGGCAGGAGCAGCTTCTGCTGGCTTTACAGAAACTCTCAAGACCACAGAATAAAGCATAAAGAAATGCTTTGTTTTGTTTTCCTTTTTTTTTTTTTCCTATTTTTACTTTTAAAGAAAATATTTATATAAAATTGCCTTTTGGGTTTTAAAAATAATGTTACTGTTTTATCAAATTTAGCTTATTTTTCTTACTGTAATTTTCATTTTTAACTTTTTATCATCACAACCTGTATATCCTTAATTTAACTTTTTAATCGTATTTTTTCCTCTACCTACCTTTTAGTTTCTATATAGCCTCAACATATAAGTGACTTAAAATCTGTATTTGAAAAATATCTTTGTCTTGAATTACCATAACAGGGTTGAAAATTAAATTATTGCCATATAAATAAGGATATTAATCATGACATTATGAAAAGTCAAAGCAAATTCCATTTCCAAACTTAAGCACTGACATAGATTGAATCACTAAAACCTTCTCAAAGACTTAAAACGAGACTTGAAGAGTTTGAAAGGCACAGCATTGAATGAAGTACTTCACTATACTATTAAAACAAGAGGAAAAAAATGTGGAGATCAGATCAACATGCAATTAATTGTCTAATAGATTTCTCTAACGTAATACCTATCTGTGGAAATTAGCCTTCCGTTACTACCTACTGAGTTGAAACAGGATGAATTATGATCAAACTGTTAATCCAGGGCTTTCCAGCACACCATGGTGCTGCTGGATGTCAGCAGAACCGTGGTGACACTGACTGGCAGCAGACATGAAAAATCACATCCTTTCTGCTTAGATTTGCTGTGAATCTGAACTTGCCCTGAAAACACTAGTCTTTAAATAAAAAGTTAAACTAATGACCAAGCAAATGAGAAAACTGGTCCTAATGCAGCCAGACAGAGGGAGGGATTTGGGTTCTAGAAGGCTTGCAAATGTTACAACTAAAGCCGCTTTCACCTTCATGGATACTTTCCATTGCAACACAAGCTGTGAGCAGGCAATTCTTTAAGAAATGAATATCACACCCATGACATTTCAGAGAATCCTGAAATACATTCTAGAATAGCTCAAAAATACTTTGTTACAAGTAATTAAAATGGTTCTAAATTAATAAATAAAAAACAAGACACAAGTCTGGACCAGGAAAATAATTTATACTAATAGTAGAAAAGAATCAGTGTGATGAATTGCTAAAACCGAATGTATTTGTTTGCTCTGTTATATCTTTGATGACTCAGATAAACTCCACGCTACATGGCATACCGGCCTGTTTCCCTGAATTATAAACACAGAAAGAAAAGTTACATAAAGAAAGTTCTGCCTGCTTTTTCCCTGGGAGAAGCTCATTCACCCACTCCTTCTAATCGGGTATAAGGGAACGAGGAGGAACAGACAAAGAAGCACTAAGAGCAAATGAACACAAGAGAAAAAAGGAAAAGACTTGGGATGGTCTCTTCATCAGGTTAACCAAGGCGGGAAAACCACCCACTCTGTGTAGTAGCACCACACCCTGGGTGGAGAACAAGCAAGCATGCTTCACCTGCCTTCTTCCTAACTGGGGGCATAGTTTGAGCAGCTCCCTCACACTCCCGCCACGGTGACTGCCCTCATGCAGGACTGTGCCCTCAAACTGTCAGCCAAATCAAGCCCCTTCCCCCTAAGTCTCATTCTTCAGGGTATTTTGCCACAGCAACTGTGGTTTTGAGTAAGAATGACCCCAATAGGCTCATATACTTGAATGCTTGGTCCCTAGTTGGTGGAATGGTTTGAGATTACATGTGGCTTTGTTGAAGGAGATCAATCATTGGAAGTGGGCTTTGAGGGTTCAAAAATTCATGCCTTTCCCAGTTAGTTCTCTCTCCCTCCCTCCCTCTCCCTCCCTCCCTCTCTCCTGCTTGTGAAGCAGGGATGAGCTCTCAGCTACTGCCCCTGCACCATGCCTGTCTGCAGGCAGCCATGCTCCCCATGATGGTCATGGACTCTAACCTACTGAATCTATAAGCCCCCAGTAAATTCTTTCTTTTATAAGTTGCCTTGATCATGGCAACAGCAATAGTAACTAAGGCTTAACAGAAGAGAATTGCTGCAGTTTTTCTCACCAGTGTATAAACAAAGGAGTCAAGAAAGAAAACAACAGGATATCCCTTAAAACTGATGCTGCTTTTCCCGCCTTCTTTCCCAGGCTCCACCACCACTAGTGTAGTTATAGATTCCTAATGCTAACTGTACCACAAGGTGAAAGGTTTAGAAAGAAACACACCCTCCCATGAGGATGGCTGTGGTAAGAGTGGGAAGATGAGCTGAACAGAAAGCATATTTAGGGTTCCACAAAACACAGGAACTCTCAATGTCTTTGTAGTCACAACCTGAAGTGACCTCCACAGTACAACATATAAAAGGGCCACCCTTGAATCTACAAGTCCTTTCATACTATTTCTTTTTTTCTTCCTTCATACTATTTCTAAATAAATGTTTTACTTATATTTTGTTGCAAATTTTTACATAAATATGATACATGTAATTATATAAAGAAAAATTAAAATCTATTTTTAATTTGAAAACTGTCTATATATTTAGGAAGTATATAATGATAAACATCTTTTCCACAAGATCAAGTACTGGCTAGACAGCCAGGAAAAAAAAAATATGTCCAGGCAGACATGATAAAGGATACAGGAAAGGACAGATCTGAGCAGAATGTGTAACTTCAAGAAGAGTGCTTTTCTAGGAAGGCGTGGTTTCTTTATGATTTAGTTCTGGATGCTAGGCTACTAGTGTGATGTTGGGAGAGACAATGGAATCTTTCAGAAGTGGGGTCTAGTGGGAGATGTTTAGAGTATTTTGTTATAGCAACAGAAACTCACTAAGAAGGAGAAGCAAGACTAACTACCCTTAAAAAGGATACTGCAGCTTACCTATAGAGACAAATAAGACTAAACAAGTACCATTTTATTATATCCCAGTGGATAAAAGAAGTACACACTACAGAAGGTGACAAATAAGGCTAATCCATATTCTCTATCTGCTCATGGGTGGCCTTTTTTTCTTACTACAGATCATTCCCTTCTACTTTCTCATCTATGACACTTTTGCTATCATAAACAAGAGGCGTTCAAGAGATGTGAATGCTAAGTAAACAAAGGAACAAGAAATAAAAAGGCTTTTTAAATGACATTGTAGTCCGAAATAAGAGTACAAACCTGCAAGTAGCAGTCAAAATGGAACACAGGCTCATAAAAGCATAAGAGACACAATATATACAAATAGGCTTTTATCTTGTTTTGGTCATTTTTTCCTATATATGTTTCTGAAAAATAACTTCCATCTTGTTGCAGAATATGTATCTTTTTGTATTAAATATATATCTGGACACATGCACACATACACAGGTGCACGCACGCACGCACACACACACACACGCGCGCGCACACACACACACACGAGCATCAATATTTCTCTCATGTTTGAACTTGTATGACCTCCCCCTTCCCAATATGTCCATCTAAACAGTAAGGAGGGAAAACAGAAAAGAAATTAGAATTCTTTCTTGCACGTTTCAGAAGCAGTAGTTTGAGAGTAATTATTTCTACATGTCCATAAAGGCCAGTATGATCTGGTTTGTTGTATCTCCATCTACTTTCATACAATGAAGCTGGACAAAAATCATTGATCTTTAGCGTACCACATATTCATTAGATTACTTTTGTTCTGTAATGTATTCTATTTAACAGCATAACTTAACTGAAGAAAATGAAGTATGTTTGGGGTTGGCAAGTTTTAAGTGGATTTTGTACGTCTATTTGTCTAATAGCAAACATCTCCTTTGTCTCCCTGTTGGACCTTCAGGGCTATAGTAATTTTAATAATGAGTAGGATCAAAAATGATCATTGGTTAAATTGTATAACTTCAGTCTTTTTTTTTTTTTTTTTTTTTCCGGCATATTCTCTCTTAGCATGTCTGATGGGAAATGGCAAGCCTTCTCAGTTGGGATCAGCTTTCTGCGTTATGATCTGTTATGATGCTTCTTTTTCCCATTCTCTCCTGAGGGAACTCTGATAAGCGTTATAGACTACCAAGCTGAGCTGCAATTTTCATTTCAGTGTAGAGGAGGAAGGAGGCAGAGTAGGTTTTTCCCCTTAACACATACTGCATGCTCACTTGGGGCAAAGAAGCAGCTTTCTGACTCCCATGCTAAGGTTCCTTCTGAGGAAGGTGATAGTATTAATCCTCCAGTACTTGCTACTATAACTGCTAGGAGAGAAGATGTAAAAGGAAGGAAGAATTAAATAAGCAGTAGATTAAAAGAGAAGAGGGGAAATGGGAAAGCAGGGAGATAGCAGGGTGAATGGAATTAACTTCCAGCAACATTTTAAAATAATACGAGGCTGATAAGGAATACTGACCCAATCTTGAATGAAAATGAATTTGTAAAATAGAAACACCTGGTGTTGTATCAACAGCATGGCATTCTTTGCCAGGGATTCCAGAAAGAATGTAAGTAGGTTACTGGTAATTTTACTCCAATGTGAAAAAACTTGCATGCTAAATTCCTGACTGAGGAGTAAGAACATTCAGTAAGGGCCGTGTTCAACTACTCAAGAATAGCAACTTAAAATGCATGAGTAGTTAAAATGTATTTTTCTTACTCTCCTACTCTACTTCAGTAAGTACAATTTTACACAACTCTTCATTCCCATATCTAAGGTAAGACCATCCACTCCCCTCAATGTCTATTGCCCCTGGATGAGAAGCCAGGAGTCAAAGAGGGTGAGACAGCATCTTCTTTTCCATGTTACGATGGTGCTATTTCCTAAAGTTACAAGTCCTAGCACCACAGTCTCAGAGTGACACGTGAAAGAGCCACCAGTGCTCAAATCTGAAGAGTTCTTACCATGTCTTTTCCACCTGTGACCTCTTATTGACATGCTGGTAACTGCATTTCTTGATATTCTAGAGGAAGTTGGTGTGACTTCAACTTGAATACACCTTGTACCTTCCTTACTAGATTTCATGGCACCACGAGGCAATGAAGCCTTTATTGCATTAGCAACCTAAAAGGAAAAATAAAGTTTAAGATAAATGAACAGCTGTAGTATTTACTTTTAGATAAAATATAAGACTAAGTGTTAATAAGTTTATAAAAAGAATACTTTCCCCAAGGTATTTTATATGATGATCCATATACCCACCAATAAGGAGTAAGAGGGTCAGAGAGATGCTTATGCTTTAAAACTTATGAATGGCATGAGGTTTGTGATCGTTAGATACTAAGCTAAGTTTCTTTCTCAGTATTAAATGCTAATGGACAGATGTATCTATATGTTGAAATTCTTATAAGCAAAAGAAAATACTATCAGTTAAACATCTTAAGTGAGTAATTAAATCTCCAAATTATAAACAAGTGCTTTAAAATGTATTATTTCTCAGTACAACAAAGCATGAGTAATCATGACATTTTAATATGCTAAAATTACTTCTCAATGCATAGTTATAAACTGAAAATTATAAATTAAAAATTTGCATACTTAATCTAGGAACCTACCAGCAGTGGCTCTGGATATAATTCTAGCTGGGCTCTGTATATAATATCATCCAATGCTTTCTGAGCTAGATCCCATTCTCCATTGTAGCTACAAAGTCATGGGAGTTAAACAGAGAAAGTATTATTTTTAATTTATCTTCTATAACAGAACAAAACATAATGAGGACTATTTGTCTCTACTAAAGAAAGCAACATACCACATTTGCATACTGCTTACCATCCTTGTCTCCTTAAGAATGCATTTTAAGTCATTGAGTTCCTATTATCTGAAAGCCTATTAATAGCAAAGAATATTTTATACATGTACATTTTTTTCTCTAAGGAACATGACTATTTATAGAATGAAAATCAAAGAGCAAAGGCAATTTCAAAACACCTTACACTGTCAAAGTAACTCAGAAGAACATAATAAATTATATACTTTAGAATAATGTTCTGAACAATTTATGGTCAAATTACTCTGTAGTTTCCATGGCTTTAATGAGAACCCAACCCTATCCACTTTCTTAACTAGCTGTTTCTTTGCATTATGATGGCCATTTAAAAAGGAACAAACATGAGAGAGAAAATAAAGAAAATAAGCATGTATATATTATATATGTGTAACTTTCAACAATATAACACACCCTAAAAAACAACTGAGATATAATGGTTTGGTCATTTGTCAACAAAATAAATGTGAATTACATCAAGAGCACAAGTGGGATCTGATAGGGAAAGGCATTACTTCCAGTCCAAGACCAAGATAAACCCAGGCTATCTTCAAAATCATAACTTCTAATGAATCCATTGAAGAGCTGAGGGCACAGGACAACCAAATAGTCTGAACCCAAAGGTGGGAGGGCCATTAGGCATCAAATAGGGATAATTCAGCTAAGCTTTTTAACAAGTTCTAGCACACCACAAAGCTGGTTCACAAGCTAGCAGCACGTACAAAAACTCTGAACCATATACATGGACAGTTCACACCCACACACAGGCTTCACACAAACCTCCTGTGGGTATGCACAGGGAACACGAGAAGCAGGGCTAGGGACCAGAAAAGGTGGCCTTTGGTGGAGCATGTAAGCCAGTGGGAGTGCCCGGTTTGAGTGCCCGCTTTCTGCACTACAAAGTGTGAGGGTGAGTGTTACTACTCTGGAGCTGCAAAGGTATCCTGACTTGTTGGGAAGCCGGGCTACCTAGGACAGCTCTGGATGTTGGAGCTGCAACGGGACAAGTCAGCCCTGGAGAGAACGGTGTCCTGCCTTATAAGGAAGCCAGGCTAACTCAATCTGGGGTGTGGTGGGGGATGATCTCCTTGCAGTATATAGCAATCCTGCTGTGCTCTGCTGTTTCCCAAGATGTTAAATCTGCTAAAAGGAAAGCCCCTGCAAAACCTGTAGCAATCTCCTCCAGCTCCGGTGAAAAGTTGTTAACTTTTTCTACTACAGACTTGCTCAGTCAGGTAAGGGAACATCCCAGCAAGTTTCTTCTAGGCCTTGCTCAGTTGGGTAAGGGAACGTTTCAGCAAGTTCTCATGTTCTGCACCAGCAAATAAAGATCTTCACCTAAGACTCTTGAGAAAGAGATTTATTTGGGAAGGAGTAGTCCAGGAGAGCGGCTGCCTCTGCCAGGGTGGGAAAGGACAGCCAGCAACTGAACAGGCAGTGGGGCTTATATATATATATACAAATTGTATATATATTTGTATATATATATATTTGTATATGTAGATATATATTTGTGTATATATATATATTTGTATATATATATATATATATATATATATATATATGGGCTTCTTAGGGGCGGAGTTTTCCTCCCAGGGAGAGGGTTTCCTGCTCAGGGATTGGTTAGTTTCGGGCATCAGGCACAGAGATGGCTCTGATTTCAGGGTAAACTGTGTTTCTTTCTCTGGTCCTTATTAGCCCGTTGTCTCTCATTTTAGGGCCAGGGCGTATTTCTTTCACTGGCTCTGATTCCAGGGACAAAGTATGTTTCTTTGGCACTGGTTTCAAAGTCAGGATATTTTTCTTTGGTTCTGGGTTCAGGGATAAAAGTGTGTCCTCCAGTGGCTCAGGTTTCAGGTCCTGGTTGTGTTTCTTACACTGGCTCTGGGTTCAGTCAGGCTGCTCAGGGATTGGTTGGTTTCCTGCTCACGGTGCTCAGGGATTGGTTGGTTTCACGTTTCAGCTAATCAGGGGCAGAGATGGTTCGGATTTCAGGGCCAAAGTCAGTTTCTTTGGCTGGCCCTTTTACCCTACAGTGCAGGTGGTCAATGCCATGGGAAAGTACAAGGACCCTACCAGACACCTTATTCCTACAATCCCTATAATTTTGGGGGAGAGAATAGCCAATCAGGGCATAGCTGATGAGGGACTGTGGCACCAAGGGGAGAAAAAGAGTATATAAACCCCATTCTATGCTGACAGAACTAGGGGTTCTCTACTTCTGAGGACCATCCCCTACCCTGCCCTCCACCCCTGCACACACATCACTCAGGGACAATAAGTCTCCCTAGAACACTGGTTGGCATTCCATCCCCATTACTGCCATGCTAGTGCACACTGCGAAATCAGGAATAACATTCTATTGCTGAAGGGGGCTTACAAAAAGGGGGGAGGGGAGACACCCTCTCCAAGCAGCAGGCATACGGAGAGAGCTGAAGGACAGAAGCTCTTCAGCAATCCAGCTCCCACTGAAATACTAGGTAAGAGCAGGGGGTTTGTAGTATGAACGTAACTATGGCAACAGTAAGGCAACTACTGTTGAAATCATCCTGGCAAGAACAAAGACAGACACCTGTGCCCTTCCTTCCCTTTGGTATCTGCCCATTGAAACTGGGGGCCCTAAGGAGCTTAGTTTCCCCACAGTCTCATGCTGGGAGAAGAGAAGAACTGAGGCAATATGCCAGAGGGGGAGCTTATCTCCCAGGAATACAAACCAACAGTCTGACAATTTGTCACCACACCTTGCAAGAGAGACTGGAACAGACGATGACGGATCCACAAGGGGTAGACAGCAGCTGTGTTTCCTTTTGTCCTCTATAATCTGCTCCTTTTTCTGCTAATTCTTGTTAAGGCTGCCGGGACCCTGGGCTCTTACTCTAACAATGTCATAGAACTACCTATAAAATTTCATTAGTATCTTCGAAAAAGAATCATTCCTATTTTCAGGCATAAACCATATTTACATCAGTTTCTACTGCCCTATTATTGACTCAAATAATGAACAATCAAAAATTACAAGGCATACTAAAAACAAAGAACCCTGTCAATAAATGAAGTAATTAATTGAATTAAATTCAGGGCCAGAGATACAGGTAAGTGGTAGTTATATGAGACACTGGGTTCAATCCACAGTATCACTAAATAAATAAAAGAACCAAATCCACAGGTGACCCAAATATTTAGGGTACAGGGTAACTTAAATTGCTACGATCGATATTTTAAATACTCTTGGAGAAAACACTAGTAACACACATAGAGATTTCAGAAGAGATATGCTCTATAAGAAAGAGCAGAACAAAAAGAGTAGAAGCAAAACCCAGTAAGAAATGAAAAACCTTCAACGGCCTTGGAGAAGACTACAGATCAAGTCTACTAAGTCACAGAGAAGTTACGCTAAGCATGGAAACAGATCAACAGAAGACACTCAAAATGGTTCTTTTTTAAAAAGTCACTCATTTTTTTATGTGAGTGCGCTGTCTTCTTGTATGCCTGCATGCCAGAAGAAGGCATGAGATCCCATTACAGATGGTTGTGGGCCACCACTCAGGACCTCTAGAAGAGCAGCCTGTGCTCCTAACTGCTGAGCCATCTTTCCAGCTCCAGTACTCAAAATGAAAATGAGAAGAAAAAATAGAGCACTCAAGCCCTGTGGGGCAATATTAATGACCTAACACAAAGCTTTAAAGAATCTCTTTCAAGGGCCTGTAAAGAGTATTTTAGAGCTAGGCATGGTGACACATATCTGTAATGTCAGGACTTGGGAGGAAGTATAGCATCAGGAGTTCAAGGCCATGCTGTCTCTAACAACAACCCAAAACCCCAAATCCAATGTTTTAAATTGTGGACATGCCCTCTCTTATCAGAACTACTCAACTCTGCTATTGCAACAGGAAGACAGCCACAGCCAGTGCACAAACACAGGAATACAATTCTGTCTCAGTAAAACTTTACAAGGTGCAGGCCAGATTTGGCCTAAATCATAAATTCTTCCCCAAGTCAAGAAGCTTATTATCTACCAGAATAAATAAAGTATCAACTGAATATAATGTAAGTGCCTCACCATCTGTGTAACATGAGAATTACACAGTACAAGACAGGATCCAGATAAGTGCTTTTGAATAGCTAAAATTTCTAGAAAAAAAATATTCATTGGGATTTTTAAAATCCAATTTGAAAATCATAGCAAAAAAGTCATGTATGGAAGAGCTAAGCATACTGACAGTTTAGCCATTTCATTCTGACCCTAAATTAAAAAAAAAAAATGGTAAAGTGTTTTAACCAATTTGAAATTCCACACAAATTTAAAATACATGTTTTAAATGATAAAAATTATTAAGAACTTGACTCCTATTCTTTCATAAAAATACGATGATTGGCCAGGTGGTGGCAGCGCATGTTTTAATCCCAGCACTCAGAAGGCAGAGGCAGGTGGATCTAGGTGAGTTTGAGGCCAGCTTGGGCTATAAAAGTGACTTCCAGGACACACAGGACTGTTATACAGAGAAACCTTGTCTCAAAAAAATAAAATAGAGGTGATTATTTATCTTATTGAGATTACATTATTGTAGAAACAGACTGGTACCGGGCAGTGGTGGTACACACCTTTAATCCCAGCCTGTTCTACAGAGCAAGTTCCAGGACAGCCAGGACTGTCATACAGAGAAACCCTGTCTCAAAAAAAAAGACAAGGGAGGGAAAAAAAAAAAAAAAAAAAAAAAAAAAAAAAAAGAAAGAAAAGGAGGAGAAGGAAACAGATTGGCAAGCTATAATATGCCAAAGAACCAACAGTGCTGTGTATATGAGACACACTTACAAGGCAAAATAGACTCCTGTTAGCATCTGCACCATGAATCCGGATGAAATTGGTACCCTGCTACTTACGCCTTTGTATTTTCTTATGTGTTGTCGGGGATATCCACATACACAGATTCTGGAAAGACCAAGATAAACATATTCGTTAGTACAGATGATTTTCTAATATTTATGAGACAACAATAAAAATAACAAATATAGTATCAATAAAACAATCTCCCAAAACAGAACATTTGCCTGTAACATTCCCCTGAATATGTTAAACTAGAAGAAGCTTGTAAAGACAAAGGCAATATAATGTATGCAGCTGGTGAATCAGACATTCAATGGTTGGTTTACTAATTTTGATCAATTTAATTATCAATAATTCTGGGGAACATTACATGGATCTTGTCATTTACAGATCTTTAGAATAATCTTTAATTCCTGATTAAGCCCTTGGTACAAACCACAGATCAGAAAGATTACTATAATTTAGACTCGTTTCATTAAATAGCCACAATAAATTTCAGGTAAAAAAAATTGAATGTTCCTGCTAGACTTAGTGATGCACACCTTTAATGTTAGCACTTGGGAGGCAAAGGCAGTCAGATATCTGTGAGTTCAAGGCCAGCTTGGTCTATATGGTGAGTTCCAGAGCATATATTATTTATACCCTGTCTAAACACAATACCTGAGAGAGAATTCTGAAGAGAAATCAGCAGGATTTGCTACTTTTTTTTTCAAAGAAAATAGCTTGAATAAAACTAAAAAGAAAAAAAAAAAAAAAAAAAAGCTGGTGATGAGAAGCAATGCAGGCACAAGCGGGCGGGCGGCACCGAGGCCTCCTCCTAGCCCTTCTCGCCTTCCCAACACTCACCAAGATTAGGTGCATGGAGTGGACCTGGGGCCCTGCACCCCCAGGCTGCAAGGACTGCCACTTGGATGCATGGCACCTGTGAAGGCTGGACCCATGGCATCTGATGCAGGGTGCCCGGCAACTGGAAGAAGGAATCTGAGCCACTGCAAACTCAAGTTTGGGAGCACAGGCGCCAAAGCCCACGGGGGCACGCCAAGGAAGGCTGGTACAATGGCCAGGGGCGGGAGACCATTTGTGTGACCAGCCTACACTGCAAAGGCCAAAGCTGAGAAAGTGACAGGAATTGCCTAAGGCCAGGCCCACTGAACCACTGGGGTCTAGCAGCAGCCCTGCCCTCCCACAGTTAGACTCACAAGAGTCCACCAGTGTCCATAGCCTAGTGAATGTTGTTCACCACGTCCTATCTCTGCCTCCTCACTTCTCACACCAAGTGCCCAAGGTTGAGGTGGGGAGAAAAGGGCCCCTGGGAAGCTTGAGCTTCCCTCAGAGGACTCCGATCCCAGAACCCTCATTTATTCTTCTGACACCGGTTACTAAATTAGGTAAATGAAATAAACCGACTCCCTCACCCAAGGTGGAAGCAATGCAATGTCAGAGGGCTTTCTGGAAAAAGATTTACTTCACAGTGTGCCGGAGTAGAGTCACCTAGGAAACGGGGTCCTGCAGCATCTGTGAGATGCTTTCAGAGGGGTTTAACTGGGCAGTACTATCCCATGCGCGGCCTCCTCAGTGAAGGTATGAAGGACCGGTGGTCATGTCTCTCTGTTCCCTGCTGTGCCAGCCCACAGCTACAGTGTCTCAATGTCAGGCCTTCTGCCACGATGGACTGTGTTCTGAGAGTATGAGCCAAAACAATCTCTTCGTGGCTTAAGTTGCTTTTGTCAGAATTTTGTCACAGCAATGAGAAAAGTTAGTCAATATGCCCTAATTGTTACTTACTAATAAATTATTCAAATATGAATTTCCACCTAACTTCCTTAACTCCACAATTGCTCTTATTTACTTGACTTATAAAAGGTAAAAATCTCAGTTGTTTCTGTTTTATTGTTTTGAAAATGGTAATCATAGAAAACTAGAGAGTCATGTAATATCACAAAGGAAAATAAAATTCCATACTGTTCCCAATAAAATGAAGTATTATTATCATTTTGATCATATTTAGCAAATGCAAAAGCTGTAACATACCATACCACATATACTATTAAGTGTTCAAATTCTAAAAACTCTTAAATCATTATTTTTAATATTTGTATAATATACCCCAAATTTTAAAAATTATTCAACAAAAAAATTGAACTCTACTTGTTTAAAGGAAGAAAAACACAATGCTATGTTTCTCTTATTTTTTGGCACCACAAAAAAAAAAAAAAAAAAAAAAAAAGATAAAAAGGAATACCCAATCACAGTCCACAAATTTAAAGGTTATGATCATGCCATAATTTAAATGTAATATAAGTAAATATAACCCTTCTGACTTAATATTCCATCTGAATATAAGTTGGATATTCATCATTGTGGTTTTTGATAGCTACTATTTCTAAGCTACCTTCTATGTGCTTGGTGGACTGAACTGTATATTGAATTATATAATGTTTTAAACAAACTACACCAAACAAAAATAACTTAGATATGTAACAAACTAGCAGTCCTACATTCATATCCTCCAGTATTAAAAATAGGAATTTACATTTACCTTGAACAAATCTGACACAGTGATTGAAGAGAAACACTGGGCATATAGGTTAAGGCAGCATTGTAACACAACAAAAGGAATGTCAACACTTCAAACCTGAAGGCAAACCAAAGGAATGTTAACAGATATTTTGTGATGGAACTGACTTACACATTACAAAAATAAGGAAAACTCAAAGGAAAAAGAAGTCTTTGCAAGTAACAATCATACATCATAAAAATTTAGTGTTCCAGATAATATGGAAGGACGTACAAGGACAAATCTAGATATGTTTGTTCTTTTATAAAATGATTCAGTATCCACATAATTGTCATGTACAACTCATTAAACACTATAAATTTACTGAAATAGTTTTCTTCTGTTTTATATTTTACCAATCCAGTCCCTGCTCCCCCTCCTTCCCTTTCTCCCACCCCCTTCCCACCCCACATTCCCTACCCCCTCCTCAGAGAGGGGGTGGCCTCCTGTGGGGAATCATCTCAAGTCTGTCACATCATTTGGGGCAGGACCAAGGCCCTCCCCCACTGCATTCAGGCTGAGCAAGGTATCCCTCCATAGGAAATGGGCTCCAAAAAGTCAGTTCCTGCACTGGAGATAAATACTGGTTTCACTGGCAGCGGCCCCATAGACTGTCCACCCTCCCCAACTGCAGCTCACATTCAGGGAGCCTAGTTCGATCCCATATACATTCCCCAGCTGTCAGTCTAGAGTCAGTGAACTCCCACTTGCTCGGGTCAGCTGTCTCTGTGGATCTCCCCAGCATGGTCCTGACTCCTTTGCTCATATTATCACTCCAACCTCTCCACAACTGGACTCCAGGAGCTCAGCCCAGTGCTTAGCTGTGCATCTCCGCATCTGCTTCCATCCGTTACTGGATGAAAGCTCTATGATGGCATTTAAGGTAGTCATCAATCTGTTCATAGGGAAAGGGCATTTAAGGTACCCTCTTCACTATTGCTTAGATTCTTAGCTGGGGTCATCCTTGCGGATTCCTGGAATCTTCCCTAGTGCCAGGTTTCTCATTAACCCCACAATGGCTCCCTCTATCAAGCTATCTCTTTCCTTGTTCTCCCTTTCTGTTCTTCCCCCAACCTGACCTTCCCCTGAAATAGTTTTTAAACAACTTGGTGTGGTAGAAGAGCTGGCTCTTCACAGTATACCTGTTCTGTGCTGTCAGCATCTCCCTCTGAGGATGGGGCCCACTGTACACGACTTTTGATAAGCCATGCTGGGATAGCGCACTCTCAGTCAGAGCCATAGACCCAATGCTGGAAGGCTAAGGAAAAGATGCTGTTCTGTTGAATGTGACATTTAGAATACACAAAGCATGAAGAGTGTCTACTGGGGTACCATATAGCTTATGAATATTCAGACTGCCTATCAAATTTCCACTTCAAGATTTAATAAAAATTAAACACTTTCACATTTTCATTAATTAAAAATTAAAAACATTTTCACCAATGAAAATCATTAAGTTTAATTTTCAATTTCTATCATGGAGTACACAACTGTCCATCCCCCCCACACACACATATAAACTAAGATGAGTCTAACCCATTAATTAACATGAAGATTAAAACAAACGTTCAATAAGGTTCTCACTATCTGAGTTCAGTTCACTGCTTAGTGATTTTGACTTATTTTTGGAACAGTATATACTTTGTGTGGTGCTAATTAGTATCTTTGGAGGTACTAATAATTCATCTTTATGCCCAGGTAACTATACCCTAATTTATGGGACTATGAGAGCTTAGGACCCAATAAATTTACTTTGATAAAAAGCTACTTACTTCATGATATACAGATGGTTTGGATAAAGATGGAATTGTAAAACTCAGTACTTTACTATGTCCCTGTTTGTCAACTATTTCCTACAAAAGTAAAAGAAAATATCTTAAAATAGTCACCTTTAACACATAACATTTTAAAAATAAAATTAAGTTATCAGGACATTTTTCCAGGTCTACTTTTTTGAGATAATATTAATTACATTTCTCCCTTCCCTTTCTTCCCTCTAAGACAAATTGTAAAAAACCAGAATAAAAGGAATTTTAAAGTCAGTTAAAAATCTTTAACACTGGAGATGCACTATCAATTACCCATTACCATCAGTGGTTAGCATGCACACTGCTGTATTTTAAAAACAAAAGCAGAGAGAACTGTAGTTCAGCATAGAAAAAAACTCAACTAAACTGGGCGTTGGTGGCGCCCAGCACTTGGGAAGCAGAGGCAGGCAGATCTCTATGAGTTCAAGGCCAGCCTGATCTATAGAGCAAGTTCCAGGATAGGCTCCAAAACAATGCAGAGAAACCCTGTCTCAAAAAAAAAAAAAAAAAAAAAAAAAAAAAAAAAACTAAATTAAACTTCCATTGTTTTCAGGATGTCTACTGCACAGATAGCATAGTGATTCTTTGCTAACAAGTTCTCTCTAAGTCGGTTAAACATGAGGTGTGTCTACAAAAGGGCCTCCCTTTCTTTTCCATCTTAAAGAACACAAACTGTAAGTATCCAGAATATCATTTTGTAACTGATACTCAAGCTATGAAAGACACACACTTTTAATAGTTCATGCTCAGGAAACAGAGGAGACTTACAAAGTGTGACTAGTGAGTCTCAGATGAGGTCTTTCTACTGATTTTTTTTTTTTTTTTTTTTGTGAAGGTAAAAAACAGACCACATGTAGATAAACTTAAAAGCATAGTAAGTAAAACATTTCAAATGCAATAGTAGCAAGACATGGCAGCACAGGCCTTTAATCCTAGCACTTGAAAGTCAGAGACAGGCAGATCTCTTGAGTTTGAGGCTATTCTGTTCTACGTAGCAAGTTCCAGGCCAGCCAGGGATACATTGTGAGACCCTGCCTCAAAACACATTGAAATAAAACCCCACTGGTGGTATTGTTATTATTGTTGTTGTTGTTGTTGTTATTGTTATTATTATTGCTATCTCTATTATTATTATTATTATCGCTATCTCTATAAGAGCACTCTATCATTATTGCTACCTCTATATAACTTTATTATTACTATTGCTATTTCTATAACTCAAATGCTCTGAGTTTTAGCTTTCATTCAATCCATCCAAGTTTGTTTAGATAATTATATAGATGCCCCAATACTATTAGGTTCTTTTTTCTTTTTTTCTTTTGCTGTCCTGAAACTCACTTTGTAGACTGGGCTGACCTCGTACTCAAGTAGATCTGTCTGCCTCTGCCTCCCAAGTGCTGGGACTAAGGGCACATGTCACAATGTTATTCCTTCTTTTAATGAATAGTGGTTTTACTAAAATGAAAAGCAGCTTTCCAAAAAGCATTTTATTAATTACAAACCAGGTTGTAAATTCCTAGAAGAAGGGCCTCGATGCAGCCACTGCTGTGCACATTTCTGCTGGCCGACACAGCCAGGTAGCACCAGATCAGCTCCGGGAGGAACTGTAGGGTGAACCGCAGCAGCTGCTCCTCCCCACTGCGGTAGAACTCAAAGAGCTGGTGACACACAGGCTCTAGCAACTGGAAGAAGATGACATGGTAATCATGAACTGGACTGTATCTGAAGGACACCATTGAATGAGTTATGGTTTCTCAGAATGGATAACTCTGAAATATACAAGTACTTTCATTTTCCTGGAGCAAAACTAGTCACTGCCCAGCTGTTTCAGAAAGCTTTAAATTCTAGTGGAAGGAGGTACAGTATAACACATCAGCAAGATGTTCTACGGTTCTCAACTAGTACTTTTACTTAAGTCATTTTGTCTTACCTCTCACCTAAGTTATACGGCATCTCTTCCTTAATGCCTTCCTTCTTAGTAAATTATAAGTCAACATATACGGGATCATCTACAGAGCAGAAGAAGCTAAGATAGAAATTCTGGCCCATTGCTTGCTCCCATGTGTGCAACAGTTGGTGTGTAGAGCAGTTATAGGGACAGTACACCCAAATCCCTGTTGAAGCCATGGTTACTGCCCCTGGGTTTACACATAAGTTGGAATCATCTACAGCCTTCTTTCCCACTACACTCCCAATTACATTATGTTAGTACAGCTAACTCTACCTTTATTAAAGACTCCTGAAAGTCAGAAAATCAAGTTAGGAGACTCTCACATCTCTCAAGTGTTAATTAAGTCAGACACTGTGATCAAACACAAAGCATGGTCAAATGTGTCAGGAGAGTCACAGGTACTGTTTTTCAAGGAAACATGAATAAACTATATATCTCATCAGCAGGGCAACAAATTAAGTCAGGCTATCAAGTGGATTTCTATTACTAATAATTACAACAAAGAGACTGCAATGAAATAGTATAAATTGTGATTTCAAATAGACTAAATAAGTAAACCAAGTATGAAGTCAACCACATTCACCTCTGACAGCTATGCTTCCATATCACAACAGTAGTTAGGAAGCAAAAGGTAAGACTGTCTCAAACAACACAAAAGCCTTAAGTGACTGCACTGTAGTCCAACACTCATATTCCCTAATTCCCAAGCAAGTTTTAATTGAATCCATTCATGAAGCTTGGTTAAGTTTAACAAGTATTTGCAATTATGAACCTTGCTAGAAGACACTCTGTAAGAACACATAATCAATTTTAATCAAAACACACTCAGAGTCTTTATAACCAGTTTCAAATGCCAAATTAAAAGATTTTTGCTTAATGAAAGCAGAATTAAATGAAGACAGATTTAAAGAGAAGGAAAAAAAATCATGTTGCAAAAAAATTAAATAAAATTATGCATTTGAAGCCAATACAGATAAATACCAACATCTGTTTGATGTTTTACAGCTTGCAAAGTACTATTCATACAGAAACATTAGTTACCATTACACTGAAGTAGAATATCAACCATATTGTTCATATAAGGAAATGAAGACCATGACAGACAGCACACATTCACAAGAGCCAGAAAGGAGCTAAATCTTCTGATTATTACAAATGTCACAAAATAATAATATATAAAGTGAGAAATATAGGCATTCCTAACTTGAATATATTTTAGGCATGAAATTGAACATGTTGGGTTACTAATGGCTCAGTTACAATGTTTCCCCCATGGAAACATTGTCACATGGTCATTAGGTTATTAAAGAACTGTTAAGATAAGCCTGTACCTCAAATCATATATTAAGTAAAGTGTGTGTGTGTGTGCTCGAGTGTGCACATGCACTCATGTGCATGGAGGGCAAAGACCAACCTTGACTGTTGTTCTTTAGGCTGCATCTATCTTGGTTTTTGAGACAGCTTGCAGATTAGGCTGGCTGAGTGGCCAAGCCCCAGGGATCTCCCTCCCAAGCACCAGGATTGCTAGTATGCGACACCATTCCAAGGTTTTTCATGGGCTCTAGGGACCATGCTCAGATCCTGATGCTGGCATGGAGGGCACGTTACAAGCTAGCTCCTCAGCCTCCTAAATGACCTTTTTATGAGTCTAATGAGAACCTAATCATCACATATCCCGTATCTGTTTTAAAGTACACCTGAGTTCTGGATAGAATTGTATAGCTTAGTGGTAATGCACTCGCTTAGCATGAACTGGCCCTGGGTCAGTTTCCAGCACTGAAAAAACAAAAAAGAAAAAACTCTCAACTTTTCCAAATATTAAAAATAGAACTGTGGCTGAGCAGTGATGGGGCACACCTTTAATTCCATCACTCAGGAGGCAGAGGCAAGTGGATCTCTGTGAGTTTGAGGCCAGCCTGGTCTACAGAGTGAGTTCCAGGACAGGCTTCAAAGCTACACAGAGAAACCCTGTCTTGGAAAAACAAAAAGCCAACTGTGATATATTACTTTTGGATATATACCAGTTTATGATAAAGACACCTGCAGACTGACCCATGTTTACCTCGGCACTGTTCACAATTATAGACTTGGTCTAGGTGCTGCAGCATCAATAGGTAAAAGGCAAAGAAGTGTGCTTCATAGAGAAAATGGAGTTTTTATTCAACCACAAAGAACAAAATTAAACAGATGGACGATAGATCATTGTCACAGGCACAGCAAATGCTCTCAGAAAGCCAGGAACTGATTGCATAGGTGGAATTTAGAAGGAACAAAGCACTTGAAAATCAGGAGTGGGGGGCTTTGGGGAGATAGATGAGAAAAAGAGGGAGGCATTCAGAAAAGTAGTACAGAGGGTGACTATGATAAACATATACATATATGGAAACATATACATATATGGAAACTCATTACTTTGGAAATAATGAAAAAGAATACTGAGTTCTAAAACAACTGAGTTACAATGAGGCTTTCATGACATCCACTAAAGAGATATGTTTACATATAGAAGTGCAGCACAAAATGCTAAGGACTGAGAAATGTTCCTAACTAAGCAAGGAAAGACTCAAGTTCACAAAATTCTTATTGAATAATCCCTGATGAACACAGTGGGAAAAAGGCACAGAAAGTTGGAAGGCTACTTTTCAGGGACTGGTAGTCAACAGTACCCATCATTCCTTGCTCAACAGACTTGAGCTGTGTTAGCATTTGACTATATACTAGAAACAGTAGAATACTTTTAAGCCATTGTATATATTAAAGTTACAGTTAACTAGAGCCACCATTTGAGCAAACTATACTACACATATGGTACTTGAATATAAATGTGTACCTCAGGGCCTTTGCAGCTACTACCCCTGTCCCTAATTCATTATCTCTCTGTCTCTCTGTCTGTCTCTGTGTCTCTCTGTTTCTCTCTCTGTAAGTGTGTCTTCCTCTGTTTCTGTCTCTGTCTCTCTGTCACTTCCTTAGTCTCAACATACACTTCCCTTCTCTGCTTTACTAAAACCACTATATATATATTCAGGTATTTACTTAATTTCTATCTCACCTACTAGAATATAAATTCTGTTCTCTAAGATCAGGAATTTGGTCTACTTTTTCTTGCCTATATTCCTTAGTAGTTCCTAATACATTATGTTTACTCAATAAATAACTGTCAACTGAATAATGGAAAAATTCCAGTAGTAAAACCCAAATGATAAAGTTGCTAGGCCTCACATACCAAAGAATCAATGTCTCAAGTTTCAAAATGACCAAAAGACAGTATCAACTCCTTACAGTTATTGGAGAGCTGTATTCCTTACAATTACTCCAATAAAAGAAATGCTCTAAACTAAAACCTCTGGACAGAAACTGACCCTACAAATACTTTCTACAGCAGCCTGCTCAAAACCCAACCAACAGAAACATGTTTCAAGCCCTTTAAAACATTAGAATAAATGATGATATTTAATTATTTAAAAATGTACATAGTATATTTATTTTATTTGGTGAAGTAGTTCTAAATCAAACTAAGAGAACTTTAAGGTTTTCACCCCTGTCCCCACCACCCTCCATTATTTAAAGTTAGAGTCTGGCTCAGTAGCCCGGTTCTTGAATTCACAATACTTGTGCCTCAGTCTCCCAAGTGCTGAGACAACTGCCTAGATCACCACTCCCAGCTTGCACCCAGACCTCAGTTGCCTATAATTTACTGTGTGGGCTGGGCTTTCTCCTGTCCACTTGAGCATATCTATCGCTGTCCTTGTTCTGCTCATGTTCAGGCAGTCATGTTGCTGAGACTCATGGGTGCAGCTTCAACATCACTAGGAGATGCACAGCAAACACCCCATCCTCTGGATCTGCCAGTCTTTCTGACCCCTCTTCCTCAGTGCTCCCCGAGCCTTCATTCACAAGAGTTTTATAGACACAGCTGCTGGGACTGTGTTCCACAGGTCTGAATTTTGACTGGCTATGGTTTTCTGATAGTCTTCCCCAGGGTTATTCAATATAAAACATTCAGCCCCCAAAACATCATACACATAACATTATAAAGACTGAGCAGGTTGTACTTATGTATTTATGGAAAAATATATAACATACACACATACGTGTGAAAAAACAATTAAGAAAAAGAGGCTACAAGTTTGAAAAAGAGCAAGGGAGTATATATGGGAAGGTTTAGAAGGAGGAAAAGGAAGGGGAAATGATGTAATTTTACTATAAGCTCAAAAATTTTATATATACATACATACATACATACATGTAATACACACGCACGCATGCACGAACGTATGTAGAAAGTGGGCCAAACAGACACGGTGGCACACTACTGCAGCCTGCGCTCTTTGGAGGCTGAGGACTGCAGTCAAGGATCCCTGGGCAACTTCACTTCACTATGGTGAAGTGAGACAAGGTGAACATAGTTGTTTGATTAAGTTATTCTAGATGAAGTCTGTGGCTTGTCAGGAGATTCCCAAGCCCACTAGCTCCTCATTACAGTGCATTCTACAGAACAAGTAGAATCTGGACTACCCTATACTCCTTCCAACACAAAGTAATGACCCAAATAACAAAATCCCCTAGTCTGGTTGCAAAGATCCAGTGACCCACATAGGACTGGACTCTGCAGCATATTACATACCACTGAATAAAGAGATTAGTGGTAGGCCAGCAATGGAGGTGGATGCAAATGGATCTCCATGAGTTTGAGGCCAGCCTGGTCTATATAGTAAGTTCCAGGGCAGCTAGAGCTATAAAATGAGACCCTGGAGAGGTAGACAGACAAGCACACAGAGAGACACTGACATCCTTTCACAAGCTTAAAAACAAAGGCATCATGCAACTTATCTCCATCCCATTTACCCCAGGGCTCTGACTCTCTCAGTTCCACAATAGGAAGGCACTAGCCAGACCCAACGACCATCCAACAAATGCCTTGTACTTCCCCAGTCTCCCTATGCTTTCCCGCTGCTAGGAGTGTTTGTTTCACTTGCCACAGAAAACCTGTATTTGCCCTTGGTCTATTTTTTGTTTTGTTTTATTTTGTTGTTGTTGCTATGATACCTGGTAATTTATAAAGAATGTATTGCTTCACAGCTCTGCAGACTGGGCAGTCCAAGACCACGAGATTTCTTTCTGTGTCGCCTCACAACAGAAGACAGAAGAGCAAGAAAGCTAAACAAGTCCAGCTCAGTTTGAGAACAGCACCGAGCCCATCATTCCAGTCTCTCCTCCCACTCTTTACACTGGGCACCGAACCCAGAACCTAGTGTGTGCTAGGCAAGGGCTCTACCTCTACCATATTCCTGGTCCATTTCTAATATCTGTTACAATGGTAAGTTTTCAGAAGAGTTTTAGAGGGAGAGACTCAATGACACATGGTTACTTCTCTTCCACTTTTCTCTCTTGGGATAAAGATCTCCTATTGCTGATCTCTGAGCCCCTAATGTCCACCACAATACTGGCTCATAGTAGATACAGAAATACTTGCTGAATTAAAAAAAAAAATGAATTCAGTGACTTGGACTTTTCAAAGCTATGGAGAGCAGACACACACAGAAAGAAGGGGGTGCTGAGAAAGATGGACTCGGGGACAAAGTAGGGGTCCTAGGGTTTGGTATTATTCTTGTTTTGCAAACATCTACATTTTCTTACTTTACATATGTGTGCTATGTTTTATAATTAAAAAAATCAACTGAATACTATTAATACAAACTGTAAGGTACTTACCTCACTTTGTGGCTCCTGGATAACTTTATAGAGAGATGAAACTAACGAACCCTTGTCTTTCAAATTTGTGGCATAATTTGGCAAAGATGTTTCTGGGAGTGTCTAAACAAATTTAAAAGAACAGCTTTTATTTTTATGCAGTTCTAGAGAAAACAAAATTTTAAAATTATCCATTGGTCATTAACATAGACTGAAGAAGTATCTGACAAGCATGGAGTTTCTGGAATTCCATGCTGGTGTTTGGTGCAACCTTATAAATATTTCAAAAGAACAACAACAAAAATAAATAAGACCAACCCTGCTTTCTCTCTTACGGTAGTGAATTTTATGTGATGTGAATTGCTCAACAACAATTTATTTTATTTTATTTTATCTTATTATCGAGACAGGGTTTCTCTGTAGCTTTGGAGCCTGTCCTGGGAACTCCATCTATAGACCAGGCTGGCCTTGAACTCACACAGATCTGCCTTATCTTTTAGAGCACTTCTCATTAGAAGTACTTGTCTTCCAATCATTGCTCCCGCCCAAATTCCTTCCTTCACTCACCCACTAACCCACTCACCCACCCACTCACCCAATCAGTTGGTTAATCACGTGGCACACATAACATGACAAGATATTTCTAAGAGTCATTTAAGACATGCACTATATCTCACATATCCCATAACCAAGTACTTCACGACTTAATGTGGGCTGTGGCTAGAATACAGAGCCTTATGTGTGCAAAAGTATGCACAGAAAATTAAGCTGCACCATTTTTTATAGCAGGGTTATTTGATTCTTCCTGCTTTACTGGGTCTCCTTGAGGGAATGAGCTGCCCTACCCTCGCCCCACCCCCACCACTCAGCACAAAGCCTCATAACTCAGACCCCTGCTGAGAGAACATAAAGGGAGGGAATAAGAAAGGGAACTTGGGCAGATTCTTTAAAGAAACCGCCTCATATTTTGCCTGAAGACATGTAAGTCAATAGGCTTTTCTAATTTAATAAGAGTTTTGTTTACCAGCATGGCACGTAAGTGTGAACCATTTGGGGACCTTCCACTATTCTCCAGAACAATAGCAGCCACCACCACAACAAACACAGTCACTGCACTGATTACATAAGGCAGAGATTAGGGCATTCTTCAATATTTCAAAAGCAAGTAACAAAAGGCCTCCAGGCAACATTCCATTCCTGTCATTTAATCAAGAGTAACCCAGTACTGGAGAAATTTATATAAAAGGGAGTGATAATCAAATAAGCATCAGAATTCTAATCTCCTAAATAAAATAAGCCTGAAGATATGTGTAAAGCATACTATGTAGTCTGTAGTAACAGTCTTCTGTGAGACAGTCAGAGGCTTTTAGTGTTGTCTTTCCCCATACTGCCCTCCCATTCCCCCGCCCCATTTAACCCTAACACTGAAGACTCTGGAAACCATACAAGTTTCCTAAAATGTGGGTGTGTGTCTCACACACACACACACACACACACACACACACACACGCGCGCGCACACACACACACACACACACACACACGATGAGATACCGTATAATGGGGGGCATTGACACCCCTAGAGACCATAGTTATCAAATAAAAACCCCAATGCAGTGTATTGGCTACCTCATTCACTAAGATCTCACCCTATCCAAATTATAGGGTTTTTGTTTTTTGGGGGTTTGTTTTTTTGCCATTGCTCTTGGTTACTGTCGTTTTTTTTTTTTTTTTTTTTTTTTTAATAAAAATGCCCCTCATAGGCTCATAGGGAGTGGCACTATTAGGAGGTGTGGCCTTGTTGGTGGAAGTCTGTCACTGTAGGTGTGGTCTCTGAGGTCTCAGAAGCTCAAGCAAGGCCTAGTGTGGCATTCACTTTTGCTGCCTGCGGATCAAGATGTAGAACTCTCAGCTCCTTCTCCAGCACCGTGTCCGCCTGGATGCCACCATGCTTCCCGACATGACAATAATGGATTGAACCTCTGAACTGTGAGCCAGCTCCAATTAAATGTTTTCCTTTATAGGAATTGCTGTGGTCATGGTGTCTCTTCATAACAATAGGAACCCTAAGACAGTTACCTTCCAAAATTGAGGTAAAACCCTCAAAGATACCACACATCTGAGTAACAGACATGAGAAATCAAGCTGGTATACCCTGGAAGCTTCTTCACTGCATAACTTTCATGGTGCTGGAATGCTCACTGCATCCTACCAGGGCAATGTCATCAATAGTCCTACTAGTGAGCACTGCCAGCTACAATAACAACTAAAGAGCCAGAGGGAGTGGATGTCTGCAGTGAAACAGTGCTTGTCAGAAGGGACAGCTCAGTTCACACATGGACTCACAGCAGCTAGGACTGCACAATATTTGCCCAAGATCAAGCAACCTGGGTCCCAGCAGAGGTGGGGGAGGGGCTCGTGAAGTCCCACCCCTATCTGAGGGGCTATTAGCAACTGATGGCTGCAAGGGTGTGGGAAAGTCAGTTTTCTTTAGGGATGCAGCTCCAGTGGATGGTCCCACATCCTTATACATACAGGCAGTATTAAATGGATCCAGTGGGTATTAATTTTTTCTTTTTAAGAAAAAGCATATAAAATTAGGAGAGAAATGACTGGGAGGACAGGAAAGGAATGGAGAGAAGAGAAAGGGGAGGATTTGATCTAAACATATATGCATATATGAATATTAAATAAAATATTTTTAAAAGAAAAATATATAGCCAGAGACAAATGATCATTTCTTTCTGGAGTCAAACACTGAAATACAGTGTCGTGGGCTGCTGCTGGTAAACAAGAAAAGAATGCCTTTAAAATCAGAGAGGTGGCTGTCACACTGGGTTCACACTCCATCACTACCGCATGGTATGGATGTGAGCAAAGTCACTTTTCTACAGAAGGAAGGGTTAACTACTGTGCTCATGGTGCTTTGAGAGGAGACAGGAGAGGTGGCTCAGCATTAAGAGCACTGGCTGGCATTCCAGAGCACGCGGATGAATCCCCACTCTCAGCACCTACACAGTAAGTAGCTCACAGCTGTCTGTAACTCCAGTCCCGGGGATCCCACCCAACACACACACGTACACAGAGATGCATGCAGACAAAACACCCATGCGCTTTGAAACAAGCAGTGCTTTGAAAAATGCACCTTATAGGACCAGATGAACTGAAGAACTACTGGCTTCCTCAACCAACCACCAGTTAAGGTTTCTCATGTTACAGAAGGCAGAAATGGAGATGAAAATAAAAATCATGTTAAAATTATTCTTGGCAATTTTTTTTTTTTAAGGAAACAGATGCTTCATACTAAAGTGCCGTGTGGCAGATGGCTTTAACATGTGAGGGAGTGATATGGGCTGGGTGAAGAGAATTAATGAAGATGGGCAGATGGACGAAGAATCAATAAACAGAGCAGCCCCGTTCAGCAGCTTCACACATGAAAATGGGTTCAGTGACCACCAGAGAACTGAAAACAAATTAGGAATCTAGGGTCTGTTAGATAATATACACACTGCATTAAGAAAAACACAAAGCAATCTGAAATTTCTTTTTACAAATAAGTCATTGAAAATATTACATATTCAATGAAATTCTAGTTTAATTGCTTTGTTAGTTTGTCAAGGAAATGCTAAGAGATTATCTAGTGCAGACACTAAATGCTTTTCTACAAGTAAAAGACTTTTTCATTTTTAAAACATTTACATTTCCTTTTGTATTTATTTAGTGTGTGTGTATGTGTAGGTTAGAGGACAACTTGTGGAATTTGCCCTCACTGTGGATTCCAGGGATCTAATGCAGACTTGTCATCAGACTGGATGGCAAGCTCCTCTGCTCCCCACCCTCACCCTATCTTGAACCATCTTTCCAGCCCACTAGAAAAAAATTTTACATGTGTTTATTTTGTGTATAAAGTTTTAGTTAAAGCTTTACAGGGGTAAACTGCATTGTCTGTGGGTTCCAGAGGCTGCTGAGTCAGGCTGTGCAGGGTACATCATGGAGCTGAAGTCACCTTTCCAGGCCATCTACTTCAACCTCTCTCGACTAATTGAATTGTAATGATTTACTCAAGAAAACCACCTACTGGAATGGGGATCCAATCAACAGAGTTGCTGACTGCCCACTCGGTCAATTACAATAATGTTGTCAAAACAAACAAACAAAACAGCGTTTTCTTTAGAAATGAACACACACGCACGCGCACACACACACACACACACACACACACACGCACACACACACACACACACACACACACACACACACACACACACACCATAGGGCTTTTCTTCCAGAGGACCAGAGTTCCATTCCCAGAACCCACATTGGGTGGCTCACAACCATTTCCAAGGTATCAGATGCTTTTTACAAGTGCATATGTCTTCCAATTCTAGTCTAATTCCATTCCTTGATTTTCTATCAACAAAACCTATTCCAGCTTTGCAATGCCTTTCTCAGACAGAGCAAAATTTAATTCCCATATTCTTAATATATGTATTTATTTACTCAGTGGTACTAATCTGCCAATGCAGCCTCTCCAGCCAGCTCTTGTATAAGTCACCTTGGCAATCCTTCCTAATCAGATAAAGATAAGTACTCTGTTCCCTCAGACACCAGGCTGCACCACTGTCAATACTGCTGTCCTGCCCTGTGCCCTTCCTACTGCATTTCTGAGGTATCTGAACACTAATGGCAGGAATGGGAAAGAATTAGCAGGTAGGCATTGCCTAAGGTTTCTATCACTACAATGGAACACCATGACCAAAAGCAAACTGAGGGGAAGGGTTTATTTGTCTTATGCTTCCACAGTACTGTTCATCATCAAAGTCAGGACACTCAAAAAGACAGGAACCTGACGGCAGGAGCTGATGCAGAGGTTATGAAAGGGTGCAGCTTACTGGCTTGCTCCTCATGGCTTGCTCAACCTGCTTTTTTAATAGAACCCAGGGCCACCAGCCCAGGGTGGCAGCACCCACAATGGGCTGGTCCCTCTCACATCAATCACTGATTAAGAAAATGCTCTACATCTTGCTGGCAGCCCAATCTTATGAAGGCAATTTCTCAATCAGGTTTCCTCCTCTCAGATGACTGTAGTTTATATCAAGTTGATATAAATCTAGCTAACACAGGCATCATGATTTTCAAACATTTGCCATAATCATTGACACACTCTCCTCCCACCCCTTAACCCCCCACCCCCACCTCCCGAGACCATTATTTAGCATGTCTTCTATGTACAGTCTGTCTTAAGGAATCAGTAAATCAGTAACTAGCTAGGTTGTCTTTTCCACAGTTTTTTTTGTTTGTTTGTTTGTTTTGTTTTTGGGTTTTTTGTTTGTTTGTTTTTTAGAGACAGGGTTTCTCTGTAGTTTTGGAATCTGTCCTGGAACTCACTCTATAGATCAGGCTGGCTTCAAACTTATGGAGATAGCCTGTTTCTGCCTCCCAATTGCTGGGATTAAAGGCATGCACCACCATCCACAGCCAGCCTTTCCACATTTGAAATAAGAATGGTTTACAAGAAATGGTACTCAACAATTAAATCAGAAAAGTTTCATCAACTGGCCCTCACTCCAAAATCCTAACAATGTGTAGCAAAACATAAATATTTTTGAAGCAGAAGAAAAGCTTTAAAACTCCTCGAATGATCATTTACAAAGCTAACATGAGGGGAACATATACAAGGTTTAATCCAAATATTAAAATTTGTAAAAAGCACTATATAGTGTACTTTTACAACATTTCACACTGCTTCATGGTGAATTAAGAAATCCAAAGGATACTCAATTTGTGACAATAAAAACTAAGAAAGTAGCTGGGCAGTGGTGGCACACGCCTTTAATCCCAGCAATTGGGTGGCAAAAGCAGGAGGATGTCTATGAGTTCGAGGACAGCCTGGTGCATAGAGCAAGTTCCAGGTCAGCCAGAGCTACACAGAGAAACCCTGTCTTGGGGTGGGGAGGAAGGCTAAGAAAGTATCAAAGTTTATCTAGCATTCATGAGGATTAGACAATAGAAGCAGATAAAGCCAGCATATGGTTAACAGGTCACTTAGCAACCGGAGTGTAGTAACACTTCCTTTTCTGAGTGACTATTATATTCTGAAAAGCCTTGTCTAAAATCACAGATCATTCAAACTTTGTCATTTGAACACTTATCAGCAAGGATGAGACATATGCCTCTAGCCTGAAGAATCTAACTCGATGACACAGAGGACCAGCCTTGGTTTCCATCTAGAGACAGAGTCCTTGGTGAAGATTAAGTAAATATCTTGCTGCCCTCCGCTTTCTGTCAATCATGAACAGGTCTACTATTTCCCACCCTATTTCTGACAATGGATCACTGATGATCACTGGGGGGGGGGGTGACATCAACATTCATGACCATGGTAATATCACGTGGAAGGAAGAGAATACACAGATAATGAGCTCTTTGAGACACTTGGGGGAAAGGAATTAAATCTTCCACAAAAGATTACTGTGCATAAATAGCTCTCTACTACGATACAGTACATTCTTTTTCCACAAATGCTTTAGCATGTTAGTCACATAAAATATAAAAAGCCACTAGAATTTAAATGCAGGCAAACTTTGTTTAGGATAAAATTTCTGTATTAGAAGAGTTGCTATTACCTTAAATTCTGACAGCCATTCTTCCACAACCCCCATTTCTGAAGTGAACATCTTTCTACATTTGTTCCGAGCCTTCAGTCTGAAAACGAACATAGGAAAGTATGAAATGTTTGAATTAGCTCTATTTCATTCTTAATACTCTGTATAGAAGTGTTCCTATAGTTACCCTTACTTGGGAAACTAGTTGCAAATATAAATTACTACATTCATTTAAAAACCAATCAATGCCCACAAGCAAACCTTAATGCAAGATTCTAACAAAAGTATAAACATTATAAAATAGTAAAATGCCTTTACAATTTTCATTCAGCTTTCAGGAATGCTAGTTGGAAAGCATTCAAAATTCTTCTTTACTTTTAATTAAATCATTTTGAAAAGATCATCTTAAAACTGTGAAAAATACTTGAGAACTATTAAAGTATAAAAAAGACGTACCCACAAGAGACTTTACAGAAAACATTAATTTATTTTGCATATATTTCGCTTAGCTAAGCAAGCCATTTGATCTCTCCCTCCCTCCCTCCTATTCCCTCCTAATATAATGGTACAAATCTTATAAATGTAGATGTATAAAGGAACAGCAAAAAGAAACTCCAGAGGATGGGAGGGGCTCTGAAGGAGCCCCATTTTTGGCTTCTTTTGATAGTTTTGTATCAAGAGAATTTTTTTTAAAAGAAAAGTGATAATATCCAACATAAAGCTATTCAATAATGATTATTCAGAAAACTGACTTTAGTATAATATGACATACACTAAAGGAAATGTAAAATTTCTATCTCATGTAAAATCGTTGTTAATGTACAATCAATTTTTCTTCACCATCTGTCCATCTGTGTAATAGACTTAGACATGGGTTTCCTGAGGGAAAACACTCTAGTCAAACTTTGAGTTGCTTTATTCCAGCACAAGTTTGACCTACAGTGGGTTCTTATCAGCAATGCCAATGTAGCAGGAAGTGAGGCCCAACTGTCAGAAGCCAAGTCCTGAGTCCACTGCTTACTTGTAGTATGACTTTGACAAGACGTTTGCCTCACGTCTATACCCATGAAGAATGAAAATCACAGATCCTACCCCAAGGGATTGTTCTGAGGATTAAATTTTATAATGCAAATAAAAGCACTTATCAGTGTCTGGCAGTAATAAAGAATACCACAAACTCACAGACCCTCTGCTCCACTGTCTTTCAAGTATGCAGGCATATCTAAATAAAAAATACAGGTTCTTGCCTGAGCTGAGTGATATACATCTTACTTATTTTCAATAAAAATGAAGCCCATTATCCTTGGATCAAGTCAAGATTATCAGGAAAACACATATTTGTACTGTTGAGGATTCAATAGACCTGTCTAGATAAATGGGGTTTGGAAATTATGTTAAAATATTATCCAAAGTACTGCAGGATCAGGTTATCACCCTTAAAATTCAACAGAGGGGGAAAAAAATCCCATCTTCAGCTCAGTATTGGGGAAAAATTTCCTTTAAAGCAAATGGGTTGTTTTTGTATTGATTCCTGTTAATTATAACTGACTGTTTTGTTTTAACTCCAGTGAAGTTGATATCAAAAGTTTCAACCTTAACTGTCTACCAAAATGGCAAATCTACCTTAATTTTATCTACTGCTTTAGTTTACATTCTTCCTTGTTGTTGGACTGTTCTGTTTTTGTTTGCCTTGTTTAGTTGGTTAACTGGGTGTTTTTTGAAGCAGGATCTTACTGTGTAGCCTAGCTGCGCTCAATTGCACAGCCCTCCTGTCCCAGCAGTAACCCACACACTCGGCTACTTTACATCGTTCCTCATTTTCTTTCCACCTCCACCTACTGCCATTATATTTCCTTTTGTGTATATTTGCAAAACAAAGCAAGTAGATACATATATTTTCTTTTTTATATTCTACTGCTGAATAAATGATAAAAAGTTATCACAAATAGGCTATCATAAATCATACAAATAATAGGGATGGTAAGATTTCCATAAAAATTCAAACAGCTGCTATTAAAATTAAGACTATTTTTATACTATTAAGAATCAATAGGATGTGGAAAAGGCACAAGATTAGTCTTGAAAACAGCAGAGCTGGAAGACCTGGGTATGGTGATAAATTATTTGTGATTTATTAAAGCTTGCCTGAGGATTCAGAAAGCAAAGACAGCTTCAAGCCATAGAGGTCAGGCAGTGGTGATACGCACCTTTAATTCCAGCAGCCATACTAGCTAGCCAGGCAGTGGTGGCACACAGCTTTATTCTCAGGACTCAGGAGACAGGCAGATGGATGTCTCTGAGTTCAGGGCCACCCTGGCCTACACCAGTGAGGAGTAGCAGAGCTCATGCCTTTGATCCCAGCACTAGGGAGGTGGAGACAGGAGTGATATGGCTGGGTAAAGAGAGGAATGAAAGGAGGAGGAGACAGGAACTGAGCCTTTTGCCTCTGAGGATCCATGTAGACACAATTGCCTTTTCAGGTGGGTTGAGGTAAGATCTACTGGCTTGGCTGCTTTGTTTCTCTGATCTTCAGCTTGAAGCTTGAACCCCAATATCAGTCTCTTTGTTTTTAATATTTGTGCTACACCTGGGCTTCCAGATAGCAGAGTTCACTCTAAAACTCAACAAATGTACAGCTAACTCAACATGGTATTCTCAGAGGGACAGGAAAATAAACCAGCAGACCAGAATGGAGTAGTCAGAAATGGACCTACAAATACATGTCCATTTTATTTATTGCAATTCTGTGAGGGAAGGACTGTCTTTACAATAAATGTGGTGAGCCCAACCAGACAGCTGTGTGGGCACCAATAAACAAAGAACCATGATGCTAGATAACATATGCCAAACCCATTTCTGGTCAATTATAGGCCTAATTGGAAAAAAATGTAAGAAAGAACTTTCATTGGGGTAGGGACAGATTTCTTAAAAGGCACAGAAGTGCTAATCATAGGTGGGAGAATCATTAAATATAAGAATTGTCTCCTCGTCAAAAGATACCACTTAAAGACTAAGACAACAAAGTTATAGAGTGGAAGAAATTATTTTCAACTCACCCTGTATATACACAACCAGAAGTCTCATATGCAGAATATATAAAGAATGTTTAAGAAAAAGGCAGAAAACCCAATAGGAAAACCAAGACCACCACTTAGCCAGACGGAAACTTAACAAAAGAGAAAGTACTCAACTTCTTTAGTTACCAAGGAAGAGTCAGTAAAAATGTGCAACATTATGCACCCCTTCTCACCTCCTCCCTGCCCCTTCTCTCTCTCACACAATATAGCTAGAATGAAAGATAATACCATGCATGGCAGTTTGTTTAAGATGCCCCCATCATAAATCTGTCTCCAGTTGGTGGCTGTGTGGGGAAGAGGACCAGGGGGAGGAGTAGGTGTTACTTCGCTGGAGGAAGGGAAGTATATCACCAGGGGAAGGCTTTGAGGTTTCAAAAGCTCCTGCCACTTAAGCTAACTCTCTCTGCTTCCTGTTTGTGGATTGAGATGTGAGCTCTCAGCTGTTGATCCAGCACCATTCCTGCCTGCTTGCTGCCATGTTTCCCACCGTGATGGTGATAGACTCCTGCATCTCTAGAACCATAAGCCCCAAATGACCCTTCCTTCTATAAGCCTTCCCCCACCTTGCTGTTTATTTCCTTGATACAGGGCCTTGCTATGTAGCTCAGACTAGATTTGAACTCATTACATAACCCAGACTGGCATCAAAGTTAACCATTCTCTTGCCTCTGTTTCCCAAGTATTGAGATTACAGGTGTGCTCCATAACACTCAGAACCTATAACAATTTTAAACTATGAAGCCAATCCAGCTCCTGGAGGATATTATGTTAAGAAATAGGCCAATAAAAACAGAAAAGCAAATAAGCCAACCTCAAAACAAAAAGAGAGTGGAATGACAATGACCAATGAGTGGGAGGGTGTTAGGGGAGATGTTGGACAAAGTACATAAGTCCCTCCTTTCCAATGTGCATACATGAAAACTGTCAAGACAATAGATCTTAAACATTTTCAACACACACACACACACACACACACCAAATATGCTAAGTGACAGACTTATATCAAAACATTATGTTGGCCAGGCCAGGCACTTAGGAGGCTGAATCTGGAAAATGGCCATAAATTTAAGGTCAGCCTGGGCTGCATAGTGAGTTCAAAGCAAGCCTGGGCTACATAGCAAGACCTTTCCTCAAAAATAAGAAAAAAACAAAACAAAGCAAAAAACCAGAAACATGTTGTACATAATAACATACATGTCTTTTGTTTTGTGATAGGTTCTGGCCTCAAACTCATAATCCTGCTGCCTCTACCTCCTGAGTGCAGCTTATACAATTTTTATTTGTCAATTACAGCTTAGTAAAGCTTTGAAAAAATCCAAATCTACATATGGTAAAAAATTCTTTCAAGGTGACTTTTTAACTTAAAAAAAAAAAATGTTATAATTGCAACATTTCTTCTTTTACTGTCTTTCCTCCAAACCTCCCATTTCCCTCCCCACTATCCCTCAAATTCGTAGCCTTTGCTTTCATTAGTTGTTATTGCATGCATTTCTGTATAATGTATATACAGATATATTCCTAAATATAACCTGCTTAGTCTGTATAATGTTACTTGTATGTTTTCAAGGCTGACCATTTTTCATTGGACAGCCAATCACTGTGTTCTTCTCTGGGAAGGACTCTCTTTCCCGTTTAGAGCTTTCTCGGTTGCCTATAGTCCTCTGGAAGGTTGAGGCCTCATGGACTTTTCCTTCTCCACTTCAGCATTAGGGTTGTCCTTGTTCAGTTCACATTTGGGCAGTCATGTTGATGAGACTTTATATCTTCTGACATCACTAGGAGACACAGTCTCACAGAAAAGCTCCTGATCCTCCTGATCCTCTGGCTCTTATAATCTTCCCACATTTTCTGCAAATTCCCTAATGGGTATGGGGGTGTTTTTCAGCTGTATCCATTGGGATTGGGTTTCACAATTCTGTGTATTGATTGGTTGTGGTTTTCTGTAATGGTCTCCAGCTGCTGCAAAGAGAAGTTTCCTCCATGTTTCTCAGTTATCTGTGAGAATAAGGACAAATGTTTATAG